TCCTCTCTCTGCTCGTACTGGCTGATGATGTGTTTGAGTTTGTCTGCCAGGTTGGTGTTCTCCGAACACAGCTTGTTGTTGCGGTTACTGTGCTGCTCGATCTGAGCCTGGATGTCTGTCAGCGTGCTCTGGAAGTGAGTGGTGATCTCTCTGCGCTTCTCTTCGTCCTCACGACAACGCGCAAGGGTCTCCTCCTGAGGGAGAGCGGGAGAGAGAGGGGGAGAGAGAGAGACATTCAGATGTTAGTCAACCTCCAACACAACCCTCTCATAAAGTTGCTGGGGTCAGGTTTGTGAAATGCCAGTTTCCAGACTCAGCTTACTGAGAAGCAAACCAAGCATTGCCAGAGTTTCTATCTTAAGACATGGCTGTTTATTTTACAAATGACACAGGCGTAAGCTCCCACATGGGAAATGTAACTCAATTCAACCCGCAGCTAAGTGCTTGAAGACATAGCTCCTACCACTGAAGTAGCAAAGCACATTAATGCCACGCCTCCTCAGACTCTGTCTTACATAAGGAGCTACCAGATGACAAGACATGATGTTCCGCTTTCAACAGCTGTCACATTCCCATTCAGAATCGGCACATTTTCATTCACTTTGCATGTAGGAACAATGATCACTTTACAATCAGACTTTTGCATAATGATTGTTGGATTTAGAATGTAAGAGTTGGCTATTTACACATCTGCATATTAATCGGTTTATACCTAATAGTCAAATGATAACCCTAACTCTGCTTTAACCCTGATTTCCTCTATATATTGAAATGTGAAGATGTTAGGAGCAGAAAGACGTTAGAGCTTTAGCCCATCAGGGGAGGGCCGCGCCCATCCTCTGCTTTTGCCTCTGAGCCTTTTTCTCTCGCCTTTGATTTATAGTCGAAGGGCAGATGCCACAAAAGCCCAATGAGACCATCCCTCTTGTCAGAGAACCACGTCACCGGTGCCTTGTGTCTGAGGGGTCTCCTCCCAAGGCCTGAGTGTGAATCTCACACACACTAACACACACACACGGCGCAGTGAGAGACGACAGAGGTCCTCCAGGAGGAGAGAGACGGGGTGTCCAATTACCTCCCCAGGGGAGAAGAACAGGAGATATAATACATCCCAGAGGTTGTGTAAGGGTTACACAATAGACAGGATACTGATCCAGTGAAAAGGGTCCATTTGTTTACAGATCATTGAGCATTATGCCATTAATGACCAATAGGGTGATTTTATAAATTATTCATAAACAAATCAAATGCCCATTTAATCAAACTGTGTACATAACTGTTGGCTGTGAATCAAAGAATAAGTGAACACTGTTTTCATTTATGTTGATTTAAGGGATACACTTCATCAATACCGGAGGTTTAGCTGAAGAGGTTTCACCTTAAGAGGAATAACAGCAGTGGCAATGTGGCAACACAATATAAATCTTTGATTGTGCTAAACCTGTGACCTTTGCTTAAGCATGTGGCCAAATTAGGTAGTGCCATTGGTCATGCTCTTTCTTTGAAACCTTACAGACAAACTGCTTATGGGATGACTAAACATTTGTCAATCTATTATTTATAGATGTAACAGGACACTCAAGCACGTAAGGGCTAATTGAGCTATGACCCTCTCACATTGAGAGCACTCTGACTCAGGGAAGAGAGTCAAGGCCTTTTGGAAGTTGCCCCTTTAGCCATCTAACTTTTCGAATGAAAATACCAGTAGTTTAAGAAACAAAATAAAATGTACAGTGGACAGTGAGTATAGTTGACAAGCATTGACAGTAACATTTTCTCTCTCCTGCATTTGATGTATTATTACCCTCATAAAGTCTATTTGAGTTTCAATACTCACAACAGTGAGACATCAGTAGATCAGTTGATTAAACATAAAGTAAGAGGTTGGTAGGTTGTTGCTCTGCTCCCCTGCTGTGTATTGGAGTCATCTAAAGGTGTCAGTATGCTTCCCATCCGGAACAGTTCGTGCATAGAGGTGGACGCGTCCGAGGCTGGGATAGGAGCTGTGCTGTCTCAGCGCTCGGGTACGCCACCAAAGCTCCGCCCCTGTGCTTTCTTTTTGAAGAAGCTCAGCCCGGTGGAGCGAAACTATGATGTGGGGGACCGGGAGCTGTTAGCTGTTGTCAAGGCTCTGAAGGCGTGGAGACATTGGCTTGAGGGGGCTAAACACCCTTTCCTCATTTGGACTGATCACCGCAATCTGGAGTACATCCGGGCGGCGAGGAGACTGAACCCTCGCCAGGCAAGGTGGGCCATGTTTTTCACCTGTTTTGTTTTCACCCTATCCTACAGACCAGGTTCCCAGAACGCTAAGGCAGACGCACTGTCCCGGTTGTATGACACAGAGGAGTGGTCCACGGATCCCACTCCCATACTTCTTGCCTGGTGGCACTGGTGGTATGGGAGGTTGACGCGGACATCAAGCGGGCGTTACGTACGGAGCCCACTCCCACCCAGTGTCCGGTTGGGCGTCTGTACGTTCCGTTTGATGTCCGCGATTGATTGATCTGTTGGGCTCACACATCACCCTCCTCTGGTCATCCTGGCATCGGTCGGACAGTGCGCTGTCTTAGTGGGAAGTACTGGTGGCCCACTTTAGCTAAGGACGTGAGGGTTTATGTTTCCTCCTGCTCGGTTTGCGCCCAGTGCAAGGCACCTAGACACCTACCCAGAGGGAAATTACAACCCCTACCCGTTCCACAACGGCCGTGGTCACACCTATCGGTGGACTTCGTGACGGATCTTCCTCCGTCACAAGGTAACACCACGATCCTGGTCGTTGTGGATTGGTTTTCTAAGTCCTGCCATCTCCTTCCTTTGCCCGGTCTCCCTACGGCCCTACAGACTGCGGAGGCTCTGTTTACCCACGTCTTCCGGCACTACGGGTGCCTGAGGATATAGTGTCTGATCAGGGTCCCCAGTTCACATCGAGGGTCTGGAGGGCGTTCATGGAACGTTTGGGTGTCTCGGTCAGCCTGGCCTTAGGGTTTCACCCCGAGAGTAATGGGCAGGTGGAGAGAGTAAACCAGGATGTGGGTAGGTTTCTGTGGGCCTATTGCCAGGACCGGCCGGGGGAGTGTGCGGCTCTCATCCCCTGGGCAGAGATGGCCCAAAACTCCCTCCGCCACTCCTCCACTAACATGTCTCCATTTCAGTGTGTACTAAGGTATCAGCCGGTCCTGGCACCGTGGCATCAGAGCCAGATCGAGGAATGGTTTCGGCGCTCGAAGGAGACCTGGGACGCTGCCCATGTGCGCCTGCAACGGGCCATCAGGCGACAGAAGGCGAGCGCCGACCGCCACCGCAGTGAGGCCCCGGTGTATGCACTGGGGGACCGGGTCTGGCTCTCGACCCGAAACCTGCCCCTTCGCCTGCCCTGCCGGAAGCTGGGTCCGCGGTTTGTGGGGCCATTTAAAGTCCTGAGGAGACTGAACAAGGTTTGTTATAGGTTACAGCTCCCCCCTGATTACCATATAACCCCTCGTTCCATGTGTCTCTCCTCAGGCTGGTGGTGGCTGGTCCGCTCCAGCAGTCTGAGGTACGGGAGGTTCCTCCGCCCCCGCTGGACATCGAGGGGGCCCCGGCGTATACTGTGCAAGCCATCATGGACTCAAGGCGTCGGGCGAGGGGCCTTCAGTACCTCGTGGAGTGGGAGGGGTACGGTCCGGAGGAGAGATGCTGGGTGCCGGTGGAGGACATCATGGACCCTTCCTTACTGCAGGAATTTCACCGTCTCCACCTGGATCGTCCTGCGCCTCGTCCTCCGGGTCTCCCCCGAGGTCAGTGTTGGCGCGCTGCTGGAGCCTCGCGTCAAGGGGGGGGTACTGTCACGACTTCCGTCGTCACCGGCTTTCTAGCTGCCACCGATCTACATTTCTGTTTTCCATTGGTTTTGTCTTTATTGTACACACCTGGTTCCCATCACGTTAATTTGTTTCCCTATTTAACCCTCTGGTTGTGCGTGATTGTTCTTTGTTTGGTGTTTATACTGCTGTGAGCTGATGTATTTCCCTGCTAAGAAATTAGATTTGTTGTTTTTCGAGTAAAGTTTGTCTATTACTCAGTTCTGTGTCCTGCGCCTGACTCCGTCCTACCACTGCACACTGACACCTGACACAGGGGGTGTAAAGCCATAACACATACGTTTTTCCAGCAACAGACTATGATCAATAATGTCAAAAGCCACACTGAAGTCTTAACAAAACAGCCCCCAAAATCTTTTTCTAATAAATTTCTCTCAGCCAATCATCAGTTATTTGTGTCAGTGCTGTGCTTGTTGAATGTCCTTCCCTATAAGGGTGCTGAAAGTCTGTTGTCAATTTTGTTTACTGTAAAATAGCATTTTATCTGGTCAAACACCATTTCTTCCCAAAAGTTTACTAAGGGTTGGTAACAGGATGATTGGTCGGCTATTTGAGCCAGTTAAGGGGGCTTTACTATTCTTAGGTAGGGGAAATAACTTTTGCTTCCCTCCAGGCCTGAGGGCACACACTTTCTAGTAGGCTTAAATTAGTCTTGTGTAGCTCAATTGGTAGAGCATGGCGTTTGTGGGTTCGCTTCCCACGGGGGGCCAGTATGAAAATGTATGCACTCACTAACTGTAAGTCGCTCTGGATAAGAGCGTCTGCTAAATGACTAAAATGTAAATGTAAAATTGAAGTTATGGCAAATAGGAGTGGCAATATCGTCCGCTATTGAATGGAGTTGACTGATGATAAACTGAGGTATCTGGACCCCTGCTGTTCAGCAATGTAGGGTTGACTTGAGGTTGAGCTGTAGCAGAGTAGGTTTGTGGTACATAGTCTTGTTTGAGACCTTGATAAATGCTTTCTTTCAGAGCTAATGCTTATAGGCTTTAGCTCAGCAGGCTAATATGGTCTCACACTCTGTAGATGACCTGGGTTCAAAACCCAGTTGGTCTTGAACGCCCACCTCAAGGGTCTTTAACCCATAATGTTGAGTAGATTAGTGTAGTGTTAACTGAGGCTGAGCTGAGCAGTGAGCATCAACCCACCTTCAGGGTCTTGAACCCACAATGTTGAGTAAATTAGTGTAGTGCTAACTGTGATGGAGCTGAACAGTGATCACCCACCTTGAGGGTCTTGTTGTGCCTCTGGAGTTCCCTGCAGAGGCCCTCCAGTTTGCTGTGGGCCATGATGGCTCTGCTGTGCTCGTACTGGAGCTGGTCCCTCTCCTTCCCCATGTGGCCCTGCTTCTTCTGCAGGAACCTCAGCTGCTTCTGCTCCCCCCGCCGCTCCTCCAGCTGTGGACCACGCAGACAGATGTGCCATATACATAGCACTGCCTTTCAGCCTCTGCCCTCTGTACAGACTTGGGCTGTCTATGCTGCTTTTGGCTAACAACCGACTGGGTGACTAAAAGAAGAAACTAATGTCCTAAGAGGATTTGGTATGGCTGGGTGGGTATATATTTGTTTCATCCCAACATCTCTTTAGGTTTGTCTCTTTCGTTTTCCTGGTGATACTATGCACTGTATATATATATGAACTGTCCAATTACTAAACATGAAGCTGACTGTGATAGCCGACGTCTTTGGTAATATTATTCATAATGCATAGTGTTCCTGATGTTGTCTTGTTGAGGAATTACAGAGCCATGTTGTAGCCAGCTGTCTTATTATGGAATATGGCCTTTGCGTTCAGATTCGCCTTTGCTGCCAGAGGCGCAGAATATTTAGGTCATCACGGTACGAGGCTGAACCACTTCCAAGATCTCACCAGGCACTCCCTGTTTTTCCTGTTGATTCATGTGTGTTTTTATTTGTTTCCTTTTAACTTTCCCTGGTCTGTTTTATTGCCGCTGGTTCCTGCTGTGCTGAAGGACTCTACTCTCTGGTGTGCTGATAGAGGGGAGAAGAGAACACTCACCAGTTCGGCATACTTCTTGAGCAGAGCATCCAGTTTCTCCTCTGGTGTGCACAGCTTGTTCAAACTTTGCATTAGAAGCTTGCCCTCCTTTCCTGTGTGGATAGAGAGAAATCATGTAATGTTCGTTTCCATTTGGACAGGCACTAGAAAAAGAAAGATGAAAAAAGGCCACCAGGGATCATTCTATAAATGGCTTCAAAATAAATACTTTTCTGAAGCAATTTCCCCTGCATGAAAGCTGTTGCATCTTGACACCTATGGCTTTGGAAAAGCAAATAAAATCAAATGGCTGAAAATGCGTAACCAAGATTTGTATTAACCTCTGTTGCTGGCCTGGTTTCATGTTGTGGCAAAAAACTATCTCCAACATCTGCTATTGGTTAAAAAATACACTTTGTGTTGCACTGAAGCAGGCCTCTCCCCATAACTTGTGCAACCTGTCCTCAAAACACAATCTAAACATGAGGCACAACCTGGACAGATGTTGAGATACAATAACATGACACTTAACATGTCTGCTTGTTCCTTTGTGGATAAGAGGTCATGATTGTAAATTAACATGCCCACTTATAAGTCTTAGATTCAAAAGAAGATGATGATGAAGGAATGCATCCTCTGACTATATAATAATAATTTGGTGGGTGCTTATATTTGTCCTATTTAAAACATTTACAAGTGTGTATAGGAAATTATTTTTTGCATATCCCAACTCCCCCTGAGAGTAGGGTCATGGCCTGGGTCTGCCATTATTAACAGCAACTCTGGAGCAATTAAGGTTAAGTGCCTTGCTTAAGGGCACATTGACAGATGTTTCACCTTGTCAGCGCAGGGATTCAAACTAGCAACCTTTCAGTTACTGGCCCAACACTCTAACTGCTAGGCTACCTGCCGCCCCATTTACAGTGAACAAAACTATAAACGCATGTAAAGTGTGTTGGTCCCATGTTTCATGAGCTGAAATAAAAGATCCCAGAAATGTTCCGTACGTACAAAAAATCTATTTCTTTCAAATGTTGTGCACAAATTTGTTTACATCCCTGTTAGTGAGCATTTCTCCTTTGCCAAGATAATCCATCCACCTGACAGGTGTGGCATATCAAGAAGCTGAGTAAACTGCATGATCATAAAACAGGTGCACTTTGGGCTGGGGACAATAAAAGGCCACTCTATAAAATGTGCAGTTTTGTCACACAACACAATGCCACAGATGTCTCAAGTTTTGAGGGAGTGTGCAATAGGCATGCTGACTGCAGGAATGTCCACCAGAGCTGTTGGCAGATAATTAATTGTTATTTTTTTTGCCTCCAACGTCGTTTTAGAGAATTTGTTAGTACGTCCAACAGGCCTCACTTCCGCAGTCCGTGTGTATGGCATCGTGTGGGCGAGCGGTTTACTGATGTCAACATTGTGACCATAGTGCCCCATGGTGGCGTTGGGGTTATGGTATGGGCAGGCATAAGCTACGGACAACGAAGACAATTGCATTTTATCGACTGACAATTTGAATGCACCAAAATACCGCGACGAGTTCCTGAGGCCCATTTTTAAGGTATTTTTAATCAACAGATGCATATCTGTATTTCCAGTCATGTGAAATCCATAGATTAGGGCCAAATGAATTTATTTCAGTTGACTGATTTCCTCATATGAACTGTAACAGTAAAATCTTTGAAATTGTCACGTTGCGTTTTATATTTTTGTTCCTTATGTATTTGAATAGAAGTCAATTAAAACTATTCTTAAGAGTGATATACAGCGGTATGTATCCAATCATTTATTTTAATACACTACCGGTCAAAAGTTTTAGAACGCCTACTCATTCAAGGGTTTGTCTTTATTTTTTAAACTATTTTCTACATTGTAGAATAATAGTGAAGACATCAAAATCAAAATGTAGCAACCAAAAATATATTTTATATTTGAGATTCTTCAAATAGCTTTGCACACTCTTGGCATTCTCTCAACCAGCTTCACCTGGAATGCTTTTCCAACAGTCTTGAAGGAGTTCTCACATATGCTTAGCACTTGTTGGCTGCTTTTCCTTCACTCTGTGGGCCGACTCATTCCAAACCATCTCAATTTGGTTGAGGTCGGGGGATTGTGGAGGCCAGGTCATCTGATGCAGCACTCCATCACTCTCTTTTCTTATTTGAGCTGTTCTTGCCATAATATGGACTTGGTCTTTTACCAAATAGGGCTATCTTCTGTGTACCCCCTACCTTGTCACAACACAACTGACTCAAATGCATTAAGAAGGAAATAAATTCCACATATTCACTTTTAACAAGGCACTCCTGTTAGTTGAAATGCATTCCAGGTGATTACCTCATGAAGCTGGTTGAGAGAATGCCAAGAATGTGCAAAGCTGTAATCAAAGCAAAGGGTGGCTATTTGAAGAATTTCAAATATAAAATATATTTTGATTTGTTAACACTTTTTTGGTTACTACATGATTCCATATGTGTTATTTCATAGTTTTGAGGTCTTCACTATTATTCTACAATGTAGAAAATTGTTTTAGAAAATAAAGACAAACCCTTGAATGAGTAGGTGTTCTAAAACTTTTGACCAGTAGTGTACATGTTCTGTCTATTGATTGAGTGGTGACTAGAATATCTCCTCTGGGCTATCTCATTAGCACACTGCCCTGTCTTTGCCCTCACAGAAACTGCTGTCGAACAACAACAGATTATAGCACAGCTGTGTCGAAAAACAAAACCATTCTGCGGCTGAATGTAAGGTTAAGTGGTACTATGTTTTCCATATAAATCAAAGTGTTGATGTTGTCTTTAAAAGCAAAGCTGCACAATCCAAATAATGCATGAGGAAAACAAAACATTGACCACCCTATATCCACCTACCTTTCAGCAACTTTTTCGTATCCTTGCCTGTGCTGGCGTCCTTGGCGGTTGTGACTTCATCTTGCTCTCCGCTTGCCTCCTCATCCACCTTCTCCGTTTCCAGGATGATGCACTGTTTCTCTATCAGACTGGCTGCGGAACCATAGGTGTTGATGATCTCCTCCAGCCGATGACCAAACTCCTCCATGGGGTCCATGTGCTGGGCCTCCTGGGGTGGAGGGACCTGGGTCTCTGTGGTGACTGGGGACGGTGGTGGGGTCACACTGGTCTGGGCTGGGATGACCTCTGCAGCAGACTGGACGTTGATCTCCATTCTCACAGATGTGGCTGAGAGTGGACGGAGATGTAGGATATTAGATATACTATATATACAAAAGTATGTGGACACCGCTTCAAATTAGTGGTTTCAGCTATTTCAGCCACACCCGTTGCTGACAGGTGTATAAAATCGAGCACACCGCCATGCAATCTCCATAGACAAACATTGGCAGTAGAATGGCCTTACTGAAGAGCTCAGTGACTTTCAACGTGGCACTGTCATAGGATGCCACCTTTCCAACAAGTCAGTTCATCAAATTTCTGCCCTGATAGAGCTTCCCCGGTAGCGTTCTGGAAGAACTTGACTGGCCTGCACTGTGCCCTGACCTCAACCCCTTCGAACAGCTTTGGTATAAATTGGAACGCCGACTGCAAGCCAGCCCTAATCGCCCAACATCAGTGCCCGACCTCACTAATGCTCTTATCGCTGAATGGACGCAAGTCCCCGCCGCAATGGGCCAACATCTAGTGGAAAGCCTTCCCAGAAGAGTGGAGGCTGTTACAGCAGTGAAGGGGGGGATCAACTCCATATTAATGCCCATGAGTTTGGAATGAGATGTTTGACGATCAGGTGTCCACATACTTTTGGTCACGTAGTGTACTAGTACCCATGTGGCAGATACAGAGACACATTATAAAACGAACAAACAAACAAACTGACAACTATACTAATTATACTAACTATACTAAAAAGGTACCTGTGTAATAGTGATGCAAGTGTTGACTCTGGCAGGGGAATGGGTTTAGGGTCATTCAATATTTTGCAGGGGGTTGAATAAAGAGAAACAATACCTTTAAAGAAATTCATAAATGTATGGTTATTGTGCAATTTATATAGGCTACATTGAAGTTTTTATTTCACTATATAAGCCTAAACTTCAGGGCTTAACTGTAATAGCCTACAAAGCTAATCTCCAAATAATGCTTTTGGGAATGGGCTGAAAAAGTTAACGTCAATCCACGGAGGCCAAAAGGACATTGTCCAAGTTTAATTCAATAAGACAAAAGCTGAGAAAGGAGAGTTGAAAATATTGAGAAGGGAGGGCCAGAAAAGTTCTGTTTGGAAAATATTTGGTGAAATGGTAAAAGATGATGATAGCAGTGCCAGCTATGTTATATGTGATGATTGTGAGGCGCTATACAAATTCGACAGTCACAAGACGGGACTTCAAATAGGCCTATGGCATGTCAAGGGAACTGTAGCCTACTGTTTAGATGGGTTAAATGCAAACTAAAATCCAGTTTTTTTTGGCAAACTCCGAAGTCCTCTGATGGTACTAGTCCCGTGCGAATCGACATCCCTGTGTTTTGAGAAAAATGTCTGAGTTTGACAGGTAGCTTATTGCTCGCGGTTTGAGCGAGAAAACATGAACTGATTCGATAAATTGAACGAAGTGCTGCATAGCCAATATATGAAGGGTTTACATTCATAAACTTAAACAGTAATTGCTTTTGTTTATACGTTTTGTGCGAATAAATTGAACATCGCCAAATGCGTCATACAAATATTGCACCTATTTAATGCAACCCTTGCTGTTAATAGATCGCAAAGCAGCATACAACAGAGCTAAACGTTTGGAACAAGTTCACTTTCTCAATCATAGCCTAAAATCGCATATCAAGTGCAAGTTAGCTGTTTAGCTCACATTTTAAGGCTGGGGGGCATTTTGGACGTCTTCTACTGCGGATCGCTAAAATATCCTAATGATTATGATCACACTTCCTCAATGATCACACTTCCTCAATTCAAATATTATGGCGACACTATACCGAAGATGGTTTGGTATTGGTTTAGAAACGTAATAACTATTGCATAATTAAGCATTTCTTGCAGTAAAATGATACATTAAATGTAGGCAAAGTTTGGACATGGGAACGGGAGTGGAGAAATATGATTTATTTATTTCTGCATCTTGAGAGAATGCAATGCTCAGTTAGATACCATCTGTAGAGGTGCTGTCTTTATTATAAAAACATAATAAAAGCTATTCACAGCTTTCTTTTAGTTTGCAACCGGTCAAACTGATGTAATTTGGACATTTTGCACAGAAAATCTTTCCAGTTTTTTTGGGTTGCGTTATTGTATTTTCTCCCCCTAAACGTCTTTGCTCCGCGAAAGATGATAGAGAGAACTTTACTGATGTCAACTAGATTGAATAATTAATTATATCGATCTATTAACATTATTCTGTTAAGGAAGGGTTTATTTAGTCTTGTAGGTTAACATATAATGACAAAAGAAAAGCTACATGTATCTAATTATAGACAAGTTGACTAACAAATAGCCTATCAAAATGTCGGAAATTATAAGCAGAAACAAATCTAAATCAGGCAACAACAAAAAATCCTTCACCCCTGTCAAACAATCGTTCTGCAGTCTTTGACTGTAGCCTATAGCGCATTGTCTGTATTTGCAGGTTAGGCATGGGTGTGGGCCTCAGATTTCACTTTAACACATATAGTCGAGCGGTTTCAAATGGGTTATTAGCAATTGCGGGCGGGTGCGGGTGAACAAAAAGCTAACCCGCGCACCACTATTGTCTACCACCTGCCTAAATCTAAAACAAAATCTCCAAACTGCAATATCACTTTGTTAGACTAAAAGATGAACAATTTCTGAAATAAATCTCAAATATTTACAATTTTTATATTTCATCTGACGTTTAAGCTTCTCTTAGTCGGAATAGGTATAGTATTACTTCCCAGCAAAGTAACTTTCAGTCTGATGCATGTGGTACAAATCACTGTGGGTGGTGAAAAATAGCACAAAACCCAGTAGCCTGTCAGGAGTAAGGAAACAATACCACTGTGAGGATTTAAATATGCCCTGTCACAAATAGACCTCAGGCCCAGCAGGCTCCATTTGATTTAATATGGAATGAATTTAAAGCATCCAGAGGTTGTTTATCCCCCAGCTCTATTGCTACATGACTGCTCCCTGCTTATCAGGATCAAATTAGCCCTAGTCCCCCCCTGCAGCCACATTCCCCCTCCCACCCTCCCTGCTTCCAGCAGGAAGGCACATGGCACCTGTTCTGAGGCCTCACTCTATTTTAGGAGCCTCTAAATATGGTCAAGCTATTTGTTATTCCAGCCACGTACCTGTTGATGTCAATGACGGCACTTTTAATATAGAAGTGGGAAAAACACAGTTGACATTGTTCTAAATGTCTACATTCATTCTGTGTTAGCTGATAATACACCTGATGAGATGACATATATATTTTTTAAACAATGTGTTTCAGTTGATGATTTCGAATAGATCATTACCTCCTCTGATAATGTTGAATAAATAACACAAATAAAAAAACACTTGTCACAAGTGTTTGAATAATTCAGTGACTTCAGACCAAACCAACACAGCAGAAAACTTCACCACCAACTCAATTCATCACAATGATACAGAATAGTTAGCTTACACTGTGTAAGTTACACATGTCACACTAGCACAACATATTTGTCACTATGACCCGACAGTAAAGCCAAAAACAACTCATAAACTTTGTCACCACACATCATGAAGCAGCGTTTTACAAACCATCAGAACTAAACAGGGCAGATAGACATAGCTCAAAGACAAGTGTAATTTCTGTACCTGAACAGTGTGTAAAAGAGTTTGGGAAAGCCACTTACCAGGTCCAGCGGGTAGAAAGAGAAAAGTGAAGAGGGTCCAACAGGACTCTGGTGACTGAGACAACAGCTGTGACAGGCAAGACCCTCAAAATAACTTACTGCAACTCAACTCTGCTCACACCAAGTGGAGAAGGTGTCAGCGTATGGGGGGGGGCCACAATATTAGCCTTTCTGATCAGGCTTTGCTGGAGGGCAGCTCAAAGGCCCACCCTCGACTGTCCTTCCTGGAATCTCCAGGGGCTGTTTTTAAAGAAAGGTTTGGTGTAGTTCTACAGTGCAAGTTTGGATTGTCTGGTTATTATAGCTCTTGTTTAGGGCACTGAGTTTTTTTTTTATTCCTGGCTAGGAAAAACTCTGGTCCCTAGATGGCTCATAACTAGGGTCCAGTTTTTCCTGGTCATACACTATATATACAAAAGTATGTGGACACCCCTTCAAATTAGTGGCTATTTCAGCCACACTCGTTGCTGACAGGTGTATAAAATCGAGCACACAGCCATGCACTCTTCATAGACAAACATTGGCAGTAGAATGGCCTTACTGAAGAGCTCAGTGACTTTCAACGTGGCACCGTCATAGGATGCCACATTTCCAACAAGTCAGTTTGTCAAATTTCTGACCTGCTAGAGCTGCCCCGGTCAACTATATGTGCTGTTATTGTGAAGTGGAAACGTCTAGGAGCAACAACAATTCAGCCGTGAAGTGGTAGGCCACACAAGCTCACAGAACGGGACCGCCGAGTGCTGGATCGTCTGTCCTCGGTTGTAACACTCACTACCGAGTTCCAAACTGCCTCTGGAAGCAACGTCAGCACAAGAACTGTTCATTGGGAGCTTCATGAAATGGGTTTCCATGGTCGAGCAACTGCACACAAGCCTAAGATCAGCATGCACAATGCCAAGCGTCGGCTGGAGTGGTGTAAAGCTCGCCGCCATTGGACTCTAGAGCAGTGGAAACGCGTTCTTTGGAGTGATGAATCACGCTTCACCATCTGGCAGTCCGACGGACAAATCTGGGTTTGGCGGATGCCAGGAGAAAGCTACCTGCCTGAATGCATAGTGCCAACTATAATGTTTGGTGGAGGAGGAATAATGGTCTGGGTCTGTTTTTCATGGTTCAGGCTAGGCCCCTTAGTTCCAGTGAAGGGAAATCTTAACACTACAGCATACAATTACATTCTAGATGATTCTGTGTTTACCAATTTTGTGACAACAGTTTGGGGAAGGCCCTTTCCTGTTTCAGCATGACAATGCCCCCATGCACAAAGCGAGGTCCATACAGAAATGGTTTGTCAAGATCGGTGTGGAAGAACTTGACTGGCCTGCACAGAGCCCTGACCTCAACCCCATTGAACACCTTTGGGAGGAATTGGAACGCTGACTGCGAGCCAGGCCTAATTGCCCAATATCAGTGCCGACCTCACTAATGCTCTTGTGGCTGAATGGAAGCAAGTCCCCGCAGCAATGTTCCAACATCTAGTGGAAAGCCTTCCCAGAAAAGTGGAGGCTGTTAAAGCAGCAAAGGGGGGACCAACTCCATATTAATGCCCATGATTTTGGAATGAGATGTTCGACGAGCAAATGTCCACATACTTTTGGTCATGTAGTGTATCATGTGGTCATGATAACCTCCTCCCCTGGCCCTAGTTAAAGCTCATGTTGTGTTGTGACCGCTGTAAAAACGGCGATGTCTCATCATGTTATGTAGAAGTATTTAATAGAGCTGTTTGTAGGACTCATAAAAACGTGTATACATTTAATCCAATGGAATATGTGATGGACATCAGCTATCAACATTTACAGGAGGCAGCCAAAATGGCACTGGGCCATCTAAATGACCTCTTTTTAATTAAAACTTTTATGGAATGACTCCTCATGATGAGCATTTAACTGCTCCAGAGTGCATTTTGTAACTGCGTTGGCGCCCTGATTTACCACCAGCTGCAGTACTACTTCTACTTCTTGCCAAGTCATAAATGTTAATTATTTCATTTCATGGATTTCATGTGGAAGCTTTTCCTCTGCCCCATCTATTTCATAGGCCAGCACTGAACTGTATATTGAAAATAAACTGTATGTAGCTACTGCCCCCGAACCCTCTATATGGTCAAATTCAATGACTGGCTAAACGGCGACTCAGATTTATCTGATTGATGTGGATTGACTGAGCAGAAGAATATGTTGAATCCTACTGCTGGACTGGGATTATAATCCTAAATCTAGTAATTCAGGACGTGACTGAGGTGGCTGGGATTGGGGTGGGGGATGGGGCACTGTCTCAGCAGCTTGACAGTATGTTGGGGTTGATAGTGAAAGCCATGGCGTGTCTGTTGTACTATACAGTATCCTACTGCGCTAGTACCCTAAATTCAGGCTATGCTCAAACTCTACACACTCAAACCCTACACCGCAACCCAAGCACTCTGTCCTGCCACCTCTGGTCTATTGGCCCTTCCACCCCAACGGGAGGGCAGCTCCCGCTCAGCCCAGTCCAAGCCCTTCTCTGTCCTGGCAGTGGCACCCCAATGGTGGAACCAGCTTCCCCCTGAAGCTAGGACAGCAAAGTCCCTGCCCATCTTCCGAAAACATCTGAAAACCTACCTCTTCAAAGAGTATCTTAAATAATCGCACAGCACCCTCCCTTGCACCCCCTAACATAAAAAAATAATAAAATAAACAAAACAAAAAATATATTTTTGAAGCCTTTCGTGAACTCACAATCCCACTTGACTCCCCCCATAATGAGGCATTGCATTGTTCTTGAAAGTTTAATTTAGCAGTGAATGAAGACGTGTGGCAAACTACAGAACCCTGGATCTAAAGGAGAAACAAAGGAACAAAAGCTGCTGTCGGGAGACACCAACTCAACGCCGAAAACTTCAGAACTTAAGAACTCGGATACCTGTGTCAACACCTGCTACCAACCAGCCAGCTAGCTAGCTAGCTAACTTGGTTTTAATGGAGCCTGCTTCGCCTGGAATAGCTAACAAACGTTTTCAGCGCTGTAGACGCTGTGTTTTATTACGTTCTTGTCAGGGACAATATTGACAATCCGGAGTTCCAATGCGGAAATTGTTTGCTAACGGAGGACTACAGGAATGAGGTGGCTATGCTTAGCAAACAGATCTAAATTCTGCGCGAATTTATGGGGAAAACGCAGATTGGAACTTTCTCGTTGTCAACTCCAATGGCAGGACGCCGCTCGGGCCTAATGGATGTTTCCCCACCTTGTAATCTTTCCCTATCCGAATGGCCTGTGCTACCTGGAACTTGCCTGCCAAGGAAGTCGTCTCCATCTGCTTCTCCTCCTCCATCCTGTAGAAGAAGCAAGAAGAGTGTTCCAATCAGCGCTGGTCCCATGTCACAAGTTGTGGAAACCGAAGGCAGCGGCATGCTGCTAGGTGGACGAGAGTGACTGCGAGAGGTTTGGAGCAGATTGACATAAGGAATAGCTTCGCTGTACTGGTGCCTGATCTACCTGCGCCTTCATCGCTGGAACTACCTGTGTCTATGACGGCAGTGCTAACTCCAACTACCCTGACTCCAGCAGCGGCTTTGTCGTCGAGTTCGGCTCCTTTCCCTCTCTCTGGATCTGACGGGGCATGGGGAGGTCTGGACCTATCGCCGGGAGCAGCGGGCGTACGCTATCCTGCTTCTCGTGGGCTCGTGAAAGGCTCAACTAATTGTGTGAGGGGTGGAAATGGGCAGATTTCTCAATTCCCTTCTCCAGCCATTGTATTGGGCAGTTCAATGGTGAGAAATGTCTCAGTCCCTGGAGTAAAAACGTTGTGCTATCCAGGAGCACGAGTACATGACATCAATAAGCTGCTCCCACACATTTTAAACCAGCATCTGGAAATTGAGTCTATCATAGTCCAATAACTGATTGGGTCACTACTTGACACCAACAAATGCCCCATTAATATCTGGCCTTCCCTAAATCATGGCATTGAACGGTGCAACATACTTTTAGCCCTCCATAACTGGCTAAGAGACTATTGCAGCTCTGTGGGTGTAACATTTATTGACAATTTTGATACCTTCTGGAAACAAAGCTCGTATTATAAGGTGGTAATCATAATAATTGGGGTTCCTGGGTCCTTTCACAGCATTATAAGGCTGCGTTGAGACTGACTTATCAATGACCCAAGCCCAGCCCATTTAATCCTTACCATTGTGTCGCTGAGTTCTCATAATGCTTCAGCAAATGTACATTATCCCAGGGGCGCTGGAAGACACAATGTAAGTAACCTAATTTATGTCCCTCTTACTGCCCTGAATGCCTCTGCTGATCCTACAGCTATTGTATGCAGTAATCATGTGCCTATGAACCAGAGTTATACTGTTAGTACTGAGGCGATGTGCCCTAGCAGGAAGTCCACTGTGTGCAGCTCACCCTGCACTAACATAAATAACTCGCACTAACATACAGTGGGGAAAAAAAGTATTTAGTCAGCCACCAGTTGTGCAAGTTCTCCCACTTAAAAAGATGAGAGAGGCCTGTAATTTTCATCATAGGTACACGTCAACTATGACAGACAAAATGAGAGAAAAAAATCCAGAAAATCACATTGTAGGATTTTTTATGAATTTATTTGCAAATTATGGTGGAAAATAAGTATTTTGTCAATAACAAAAGTTTCTCAATACTTTGTTATATACCCTTTGTTGGCAATGACACAGGTCAAACATTTTCTGTAAGTCTTCACAAGGTTTTCACACACTGTTGCTGGTATTTTGGCCCATTCCTCCATGCAGATCTCCTCTAGAGCAGTGATGTTTTGGGGCTGTCGCTGGGCAACACAGACTTTCAACTCCCTCCAAAGATTTTCTATGGGGTTGAGATCTGGAGACTGGCTAGGCCACTCCAGGACCTTGAAATGCTTCTTACGAAGCCACTCCTTCGTTGCCCGGGCGGTGTGTTTGGGATCATTGTCATGCTCGACTTCCTGGCGCTGACGGAAACATGGATTACCACTGAAAACACTGCTACTCCTACTGCTCTCTCCTCGTCTGACCATGTGTTCTCGCATACCCCGAGAGCATCTGGTCAGAGGGGTGGTGGCACAGGAATCCTCATCTCTCCCAAGTGGACATTCTCAATTTTTCCCCTAACCCATCTGTCTATCTCCTCATTTGAATTCCATGCTGTCACAGTCACTAGCCCATTTAAGCTTAATATCCTT